TTAACACTGAATTTTGATAAAACAACTGGGTGTTTTTAAAAATTATAGTCCCAAAAGCAACAAAAGTGAACACATTAGCCAAATAGAGGAAAGGGCATTACTAAGTGATTAATTGCATTTGCATTTAAAGTATGCATTTCAAAATGCAATGAAAAATAATATACACATTATATTTATAGTTTCCTTATCCTGTCTTAATTGGTGAGTTAATATTTACATATTAAATTGCAAAATGTTTTTGTAAAAGGCTTAAATTTGTTTTAGTTTTTGACCAGTTATGTGTCTTTGGTTGTTTGTTGTTTGTTGGTACTGCAACTTTCAACAATAAGGTAACTCAAAGAGCTTACATAAAACTTTTAAAATACAAAATAGATCTAAGAAGACACAAACTTAAATAGTTGATATAAAAAAAAGTGATTTATTTTACACAAATTTTTACTTTTAAACTAAAGGATTTATTATTTATTATCCATACTAATATATATTATATTTTTTTTTATATATATTTTGTATTATCATATATACTCTTACCTAATCAGATGGGTTGTCTGCGGCATTTGTGAGTACTTGGACTCCGTATTCCCGCCTGTCAACTCATATTAATAAAATCTTAATATACTGGATTACTCATACTGGATTACAGCAAATGACCTTCAGCAGCCACTTATTAGTTTCATGACAATAAATATCTGAGTTGGAAGAGTGTGAGAGTCAAGGTCAGAAAAAAGCTCATAACAAACTCCCCCCTTATGGAAATTGGTAACCACGGCAACCACAAATTCATATGAGTGGTGGAACAAAAAAAACCCAACAACATAAATATCTCCTACTTTCTAAGCTGACAGCAGGAAAAAGAAAAATAATAATAATAAACACCCTCCAGGTTATCATGTTTCACAACCCCAGCAGTGAATCACCAAATCTACCCCCCCCCCTCCACACACACACACACACACACACACACACGCACACACTGCTCCTCTTTGTGCATATATTCCCACTGTGTAATGCCAGACATCTTTAGTGGTGACTCTCCAAACTGCCTACACTGAACCACAACATGCAAACATCACATGCATGCAGAGCGTTTAATCTGCTTTGCATCGCGTTGTCAAATGCACGACACACTCATGCTTAAAATAGTCCAGAGGTGAATCTGCTGGAGCGAGAGAGTGAGTCCAAATGTCACTGTTTCCTTAATGTAAAATTACATCTGCAGAGGTCAAGCTGTATATGTGTGTGTGTGTGTGTGTGTGTGTGTGTGTGTAACAACCTCCTTCGATCTACAGCTTTCTAGACAGTTTTCTCAGAAACAAGCTAATCCTGTCCTCAGGGGGTTTAGTGATAAAATGACTTCCTGGAAAGAAGAAAAAAGTCTTCATATGTACAACCAGGACATTAGATGTAAACTGAGCAGCGTCTCCTCTTCTGAGACCAAGAAAGAAACAGAGCTCCCACTCAAGAGAGTTTAGAGAAGTACTGCTGCACCACCTAGTGGAGGATCATGAGACCGCAAAGGCTTTTATACTTTTAACACCAAATAAAGCACCACATAGATATAATGCTGGTCAATGGAAACCATGTATCTCCAAATGTGGAGATTTCTAATTTAAAATGTTTTCCAAAAATATTACGAGTAACATATTAGAAAGAAACCTTCAGACTGTGAAATGAGCTTTTTGTCACAAAGCTAAAAACATTGCGTTTTATTCTTTGTTAATGAAAAGTTGACATTTTGGCCCACGGGGTCAGTGGGGTCAAGGGGCCCCAAAACCGGAGTCAAAACTGATGATCTGAATCAAGGTTCTCAAGGTTTTGTGGTTATGGTATGTCACTGTACAACTCAGATTGTACAATGAAAAGCAGCTACAGCTCACACAAGCTGCACAAATAAGAGTAATAACTCGAAAGGAGCAAAAAAATAAAATAAATAGAACAACGTGGAATTAGAAAAGCAATCAGAGAAATAGGCTGGCAATATTCTATATATTCATTATTGTGAACAAATTCTTCGGTCATCAGTGATGCTACGTTGGTGGCTTCGTACATTAATTATGCTGTCTATGGTTTC